CCATTCTATTCCACTTTGTTTCATTTCAATCAGTTCGTTTTGAAATATCCAAACCTACCCTAAAGAAAGAAGTAGAATTAAGTGTAATGAAGCGGTGCAGAAGGAAAACTTCATTCAATTGTTTGGAAATTTTAGAACAAGACAAAATAAACTGTTCATTCCGCCTAAATGATAAAATGAAATCCATACCACTTCATTCTGCTTCGCTCCATTCAATTTTAAATTATTCAAATAATAGAATATCATTCAACTCCATCCCATTCCGTTCTGCTTCATCCTATTTCATCAATTTAAACGATTGAGAAAATTGATCTAAATACAAATATATATAATACAACTAATTTTCATACAATTGATGTTAAATCTAGCTAGATAGAAACAATTAAGTAAAAAAATAATTAAGTAAGCTTATCGTACCTGACCAGAAGGGAATCAGTGACCTGCCACGCGTCGTTGATCTGCTAGCTGCTCACCGAAGGCATGGAAGAGGAGGGGGTGTACCTGAAACACATTCCAATGACAAAGTAAGTGACGAGCAGAGTGGAAGCAAGTACAAAGAGAGAATAGGAGAGTTAAGTTACTTGACCCTCTAGTGGATAGGGTATTTATAATAAGCTCACAGCGTAGGGCCAATGGTTACCTAGCACTGGGCTAGGCTGTCAGACCCAATGTTAGTAACTGCTAGGCCTGACGTGGTGTCGTGAAGACCAACACGTGGTCTTCGCCCTAGGGTAACTGTTCCACGCTATCCGGGAGGAGGAAGACCGAATCTCCAGGGCATAGGTAGTTACTTTATGACATGTCCCTGCATGAGGGCACGTGGAGAACGTGGGGGGAGACTCGAGGAGCTCCCCGGGCAGGTTGGATTCTGCCCGACGGCGGGGAGAAAGAGGTTGATTGGTCGGGTGTGAGGGTCCTTCCCGACAGCTGTTGGCCCATGCTCGACGGGGAAAAGATTGTGCTCGGCGGAACTTCTACCCGTCAGCGTGGTACTCTTGGGTCTAACTCCTTGGAGTTTGGGCCTACTAGGTTGTGAGTTAAACGTCGGCCCAATCCAGAACATAAGAATTCAAAAAAGAAAAATTTAAGTAAGCAATTTAAAAATGAGGGAAATCTACTATCAATCTATCAAAATTTTATTGAATGCATTTCCTATTATACCCTTTTACAATAAAAATATTACACTATCAAAAGGATGTATTGGTAATCAACTAATTACCACATTTTTATTCAAAGTCTTCTCTATATTGATGCCATTTGTCGATCATCCATTTGTCCAAATTAAACTAACAATTTTTCAAAATTCCTTTCTCACCTTTTCCACATTTCTCTGTTTCCTCTCTTTCTCTTTGCTCTCTCTTTTTCTCTCAAACCCTAATATAGGTGTCTTCCTACTGCTGGAAATTAACAGTGCATGATGATTTTGATAAATGGAGCAAGAATCACAATGATACTCTTATGCGTTGAAGAAGATAACCGAGCAAGTTGTCTTTTAGAAAAGGAAACGATCCTAGCTCCAATTTTTACTGTTTCCATTTCCACTTGCAAAGTTTTGTAAACCGCAAGGACACCAACGAGAAACTTCCATTCATGATCTCTCTTTGAAGCAAGCAAGGTAAACAATATCATTCATTCCTTTCTCAAAAAATCAACTTTTTTTCATAAGTATAATTTGCAAATGATGTTTCGGTTCTGTTGCAAAAATGGGTTTCCAAGTCTGTACGAACTTGCCATGTAAAATTGCTTCTCATCGTCATTATCTCATTCTTTTACAATAATTTTAAAAACATTGTCATTCTTTTAGTATGTATCCAAGAGCAAAACACTTGATTATACCCAAATTATTGATAAAAATGTACAATCTTGTGTATCTAATGCCTTTTTAATGTTAATTTTAAGGGATATAGGTTTGTAGTTTTCGATGATATATGCTCCGGTTAAATCTAGAGATAAGCACCACTAGGCTATAATTGAGTACTATCTTCTTGAAATATCCATTTTCTACAATGTTATATGTCTCTAACATTCATCACAATTGTTTTTTTCAGGGAGGTAGTGCAGAAGTGAGGTTTCAGCCTCGATTAGGACAATTACTTGCAGCAGATTCTGATAAAGTGCTGTCTATTTTCAACGTCAAATTTGACAGGCAAATTTACTCACTGCCGCTAAAAGATTGAGTTGCTCTATATAGCTATCGTGATGTTTTTCAATTGAAGATTTTTTCTATGTGGATTTTGTAGTTAAATCACTTGTCTTTGTAGTGCAAATTCAGAGATATGTTGGCATCTGTTAGTCCAAATTCGGTAAAGATGGCATTGACTATTGAATGGAGGCCTCTTTATGATACACTGTTTAGCACAAGTTTTACCAAATAAGTTTTACACTGATACTGTTGATGTTGCAGCCTTAATTGGTTTAAACTTTATAGTTATTCTGTGTTGTTTATAGTTTGTGATGCATAGCTCTAGAATCTTTGATTTCTTAACTATCATTGATAACTAAGGAAACAAATCTTGATACTGAAACTTTGCAGATGATGGAAGCTGCCTATGAAACTTTGCAGGTACTGATACTTAATTGAATATTGTTATAGCACATTCAAATTTACTATAATGACGTCGGAACTCGCTTCTTTTGTTGTTTAATAACAGGATGCTGCTGGATTAACCCAATTAAGTTCAACAGTGGAGGATGTATTTGCCATGGTGATCTCCCTCTTGCTGCTGAAACTCTGGCTAATATGAGGCATTGCTTGTCTGCTGTCGGGGAAGTACTAATTCTCCCCCTTTTGATTATCTATCAAGTGCATGAGTTTTGGTACATTTACTTTTTGTATATACTTTTGTTTTCACGACCGGTTTCGGAAAGAATACTGAATACTGAGTACAATCAGAATAATTCTTTTTACATTTGCCATTTGATGTTGTTGAGAATATTGCTACAACTACAACATCAATATTACTTTGATTCTAAGTGAAACCACTAATTTTACAGTCATATTGCAAAGTAACTGAAGTCTTTATTATTCTTTATGGCTTATCTTAAAGGTATGTGATGTTTAAGCATAAATTATATATAACAATGAAATGACCTTGCTTTACAGAGTATTTTGTTTTAGTTATAAAGGATTGAATGGTAAAAACTGGATGCTTTTAGAACACAGATTGGTTCTTAATAATAACTTTTTGTTTTGATGATAACTGTTAGGAAATTTTATATTTAAGAATTATATACTCTAAAATTTGCTCAAGAGTTTTACTGCAGATTGAAATGAAATTATCACTCTAGAAGCAAATCTGATTGGTATACAAGAATGCAACTGACTCTGAAGCGCCAGATGCATTCATTAGAAGATTCTGATTGCTGTTTACAGAAGATCCTGAGCGTAGTCTCCAGAAGGATCTGAAGCAGAAGCTCCAGAAGAATCTGAAGCAAGCAGAAGCATCTGAAGCTAGTCAGAAGCATCTGAAGCTGAAGCATCTGAAGCAGAGAAGAATACTGTATGAAGAGTTTCTCAAAGCATAATTCTACAGAAGTTTCTGAAAGAACTAACGCTGCCAAGTACTGAAGTTCTGTGTCAAATATGCTCTGATGATCAACACGCTGAAAGCACACATGCTGCAGAAGACTCTGATACAATAAGGTTCTGAACATCATTAGAAGACTCTGACTCATTCAGATTCTGAAGAACTTGCTGAAAACTGAAGAAAATATATTCAAAGATTATATCCGTTGGAGTAAGTCAAACGTCTCTTTCCTCATTTGTGCTAGACACAATAACACAGACAAAAAGGATTTTTCTGTGCTATCTAATTCTAGGAAAGGTCACTTGATGTAAAGACAAAAAGGCTCAGACCTTTTTGGGACTCTCTTTTCAACGCTCAGCTTCCTTGGATCAGCTGCCTATAAAAGGAAGACTCCACCAAATTCTTCAGTGATACAATTTGCTGAAAAGAAATCATATTATTCTAAGCTTTCATTCTTTCATATTCTTCTTAGAATTTCTTATACTTAAACTTAAGAGAAAAATCACTGTTGTGATAAAAGCTTTATAGAAGCATTAATACTCTTGTATTTGATTTACATTGATTGTAAAGGTTTTTCCTTAAGAGGATTCAATTGGAATCAGTAGCTCTTGAGAAGACTAAGAACAGTTGTTCTTAGGTGTTATTATTGTAATCTGTTTGATTAAATAGTGGATTAAGTCCTTGTTGAGAAAGGCAAATCACTCTAGGAAGGGTGGACTGGAGTAGTTGTTTTAAACAAACCAGGATAAAAATAATTGTGTGATTATTTTAAGTCTTAATCTTTCATACTTATTCAACCCCCCTTCTAAGTATTATCTCACCTTCAGATGCCGCTTGGGTTATATAGTTGTAGACGGGAGCAAAATTATAATGAAATAGAATTTCATGGCCTGACTTTAACTGGTGTGGTTTAAACATGTCCATATATGAAATTTGCACATCCTATGATGTTTTTTTCCCTGTCCATATATGAAGTTTGTATACCAACAAGTCTATTTTTTTGCAAGTTGTTCTCTGTCATGGTTCTCATATGTAACTGATATGATGTTTGTGTTCATATTATGTAAACTCATGATCTGTAAATCCTACTACTGCACTATTTTTTCATCTGTTTTTGTTTTCCATGTTCATGGTTTTCCTTTGTCATATACGCTATGCATTATTTCTCTACTTTATGACTTCACAATTTACTTGCACAACCTTAATGTCTTTTGCATTTAGATGATGCAACAGGTTAGCAGCTACCCAATCAACCATTCTCCGTCTCATTCTCTCACCCAAACATCGGATTCATTTGTACAATCTAACACAAAATGAACTCAACAAGGTTTGTTGTATTCTTTAGCATGACTTAAGTTACTGTCTTAATTATATATTTGTTGAAAGTATAAGTTACTGTCATAATCATCTATTATTCAATCTATTTTGTAACTCATATGGTACCATCAAACTTCAAAAGCAGCATTATCGATCATGGACACTGATGTTGGAGTCGGCCTTCAAAATGAATCTATTGTATGTCTAACTCATTACTCATATGTCCTTAACAACACTATATATGAGTATGCTTATTATAACTCATTATGTAGTTACAAATTACTTGTGTCATTTGTAGCCAAGCAATTCAGTTGATCAAAGCTTTTCTGTAGTACCACCCACTTCTGCCAAGAGTGATTGCAGCCCGTTGACATGCTCTAGCAACACCCCTGCTAAGAGGGTTGTTGTCCCAACCACTCTAGATGACATTTTGCAAGATAAAGTCTTGACTCCACGACAATCTGCAACGAAGGTTAAACACATCAAGAAGGAGTGATCATCTTATGCAAGCCTCAATTTTTTATGTTTTTTAATGTTTTGTTGACTTCATTAATGTAATGTTAAGTACATCAACAACTTAGTCTATCTACTGGTGTATTAGATATGTCTCTATCTATTGGTGTGCTGTTGAGAAACTACCTACTTCATGTTTAAAAGCAGTGTTATATTAACCTTTTGGTTTCAGATCTTTGTGAATATAACAAACAATATGCTCTTCTTACTTTTATTAGTCACAATTTCATTTGCGAAAAGATTTGGATCATCTCATGCCCTTTCCCTTTGGCTATTCTTATGCCAAATCTGTTGTGGACAGTGATAACCCGCCAACAATGTTGTAGGCCACATCTGGTAGTTAAATGCGAAAACCCCGTCGCACAACATTGTAGTCCATATCTGGTAGATTAAACGGTTTCAATTATGAGTGAGTGATGAAGTTTGATGATTTTCATGTGAATGGGTGTTGAAATTTTTGTCCTGCATATATTAGTTCATAGGATTGATGCATGTTTGGTTAATTTGTAGCACAATATCTTGCCAGAATCATGGTAAATCACTGCAATCAAGACAATTCCACCTTAATGTCAAAACATGTACTATATGACAAATCCACCGAAATCAAACTCCTAGGCAGTGATATACACATGTACTATATGACAAATCCACCGAAACCAAACTCCTAGGCAGTGATATGAAGTCGAGAAACATGTGAGAGTTTTAATTGGAGTATCTTTTGCATGATAAAATAAGGAAATGATGAATCATTAAAATATGAGATATATTTTCTCCACTTTCTTTATAAATTATACGTCTTTTGGCATGACACAATGATATTATAAACATAATAATACAATGATCTCTACATTTTATTAAGTAGATCATGCAATTGCAATGCTGTACATTTGTTTTAAAACAAGCATATTAACATATATTCTTAAAATAATATTACGCATCATCACTACTTGCCATTTAATGTTTGATTCTTTATGCCTTTTAAAAATATATATACATGCCTTTCAAGCTGGATTGCCTGCAAAAATCTTGCTAATATTTTAAGGTTTGCAAGACATGTTGATTTTGCACTTACGTTTTGTTCATAACTATATATTATTCATACATTGGATATTTTGGATAAATTTTTTTTAATTGCAATACAATTCATTTTTCTTTAAATTACTATTTCATTAGTGCAATGATTTCTATATATATAAAAAAAAATTATCTCTATTATGACATGTTAGTTTTACCCGTGCGAGAGCACGGATATTCTACTAGTGCTAAATGAAAAAAATAAAATAAAAAGATAGAGAAAAATAAACAAAGCAAAACGCACCTTAGTTTGGTTACACACAAAAACCCAGAGCCCCTCGTGCAGCGCCGTTATGTATTAAAGGAAGGCGCGAAGAATTGAAAACGGATCCAGACACGTGCTGTGCTTGATACAGGGTTTATCAACCGAAGATTAGGGTTTAACTTATCCACCTTTCAAGTGAATAGCACTTTCAGAGAAGAAGGAGAGTGAAGACAATGTCCGAAGCTGAAGCAAAATCTGGTTCAATGCTTTCAGTCGTTGTTTCACTATCCAAAAGCTTCGATCAAGTGCCTCCTTCAGCCGTTCCGGCGGTGCTAGATTGTGTTCTGCTTTCCACCGGTTTGTCTCCGCCCTCGCTCTTCGCTTCACTTCTCCATGATTTTCCTCGTTTTCTCAAGGTATTCATCTTCAATTCAGTTCCTCTCGTCACTTTTTCCCAACTATTTCATAAAAAAATATGCTGCAGACCTTATTTTGTTGCTATTTGCTACTTGATTTTTTACATTTCTAGAATTTGTAATACTGTTTGTTTACTATTTCTTTATCACTCTATGTTGAATTTTTTCTTCCGGTTTTTATGTTTGATTATATTTGTTGGATGTAATAGGACATTATCAAAGAGGATGGGACTTTGGATTCTGATAAACGACACCGTCTGGTGTCATTGGTGGCCGCATTTTGTCACCTCCTGAAGAAAACAGGTGAGTTGCTTCTGATTTATGTGTAGTTTTGTATAAACTACTATATTCTCTGTTGTGCATCTGGAAATGCATTTATCAATTGAAACTATAATGCTATGCTGAAATGGAGCTTTTGCAGCAGCTGTTGAGTTGCACTTTATCTTTTTTATTTTTTAACTAGGAATCCTTCCATTTAATTTATTTCTCTGTAGGGGCTGATTGTGACGCTATACAACTGTTTGTTTGGAGTTGTTTTCTTCCTTTAGCTAAGGTGCTGCCACCATCTCAGCATGACCTGCTTAACCAGGTATAATATAATACAATGTTAAATTAAATAGCTAGGAAATTGTGTTTTACTGGTAGTTGTTGTAGAACTTTTCTTTATCATGTAACTAATGTGTAATCTGATATGGTAGATAACAGAATCACTCATGGATGTTGTGATTAAAACCGGCACCTTGGAAGTTCTTGAAGAAACTTTGGTGCCGGTTTTTATAAGATCAGTCGGTCTTTCACTGGGGATGCTTCATAATGATGATTCGAGTTTGTATAAATGGAGTAGAGAATTGTCTCACCAGGATTCACATGGCGTAGTTGACGGGGAACAATTTACATCTTCGTCAAATTGTTTCAAATTGACGACATCATGCAATGTTTTGTCTGTAATTCTGGAACTTGCCCTTCAGTTTCTGCATACAAATACAGTCTCCAAGTCAGCTGAAAGAGAAGGGTGTATTGCTGACACATTTGTTAAAGTTTTGATTTTGGAGTTATGTAGTATGAGTGAACGGATGCTTTTACACAGTCCAGAACATAGATCTTGCGCAATTGGCTTTCTTCTTCCTATCATTCTCAAAACATTCCATGCCATTTGCTCTTTTGAAATCTCAATTCGTGGGCAGAAACATGGTTTATCTCGGTATAGCCAGCTAGATTAATTAATATATTATTTGCTTTAATATACATTCTTTATCTGTATGAATTTGTCTTGTATATTACTGGTTTTCAGGGAACGTTTCTTCATGAAAATATGGAACTGCTGCAAAACACTATTTTCAATGGGACCTCTAGAGAGAAGAGAGGGATACAACACTCTCTCTTTGTATTTCTCTTTTTCCTGGCTGGAAGAAGAATATGAAATTTCTAATAGTGATACAGTTATTAAAACTGAAGAGTTTGATATAAGAGCAGAAAAGGAGTTCTGGGATGAGATAAAAAAGGGGCTGGTACTTGAGCTCTGTTTAGTATTTTTTCTGTTCGATTGCTTATGTTGTTGATGCTTTGCTTACTTAAGAGCCAAAATGAATATGTTCAGGTTGACAGGGAGAGTTTAGTGAGGAAGCAGAGCTTACATATATTGAAAATGGCTCTGAATATACGAGAAGGAGCCAATTCCCTCCCTAGCATTTCAAATAGCGACACCAATGGAAAGTGTTCAGTACCTTGTGGGGTGACAAGGAAGGAACTTTGGGCTCTCAAAGAAGCGAAGTCACTTGGTGTTGGGAAGCTTTCGACGTTAGATGAGCTTATTTATAACAGCCAGCAATATTGGGGTGCCTTTGTGCTTTTATACGAGATGCTTGAGGAATATGGTACTCATTTAGTTGAAGCGGCTTGGAATCATCAGGTATGGGGCCCGTTTGTTTCAGCTTTTTAAAAAAATAACTTTTATAGTATTACATATTTTTGTTAAAATAAATTTACAAAGATTTAAAAAAAATCTTAAAATAAAAAATTAGTTTAAATAGTTTTTCATTAAATGTTATTTTAGGTGTTTCATCCTTTTGCTATGACTTTTTTTGGATAGTTCAAAAACTCCCTTGATTTTGAAGCTATTTTGACTATGTTTCAATAAAAATCATTTTTGAAAAATTATGTGATTTTGACTATGTTTTAATCTTCAATAATGCGTATTTATGTTACTGGATGTCAAAATTAATCTTTTAATTTCTAAAAATGAGTTTGAAATAACTTTTACAATTTTGAATTTTTTTTCTTCATAAACTTAGTTTTGAGAATAAAAAGAAAAAAACAGTTTTTTAAATATATAACAAACGGGCCAATATAATCATGCAAAGGAGAAAAAACTTGGTCTGTATGTGTATATTTATATATTTTTGTATGCGTTTCTTTGTAATGAAGTGCTAACGAATACAATGCACAAACTTTTAGTTATACTAATACAAGATTCCAATCCCAATTGAATGACGGAAAAAATCATGGAAATCACTCCTAAGAGATCATTTAAGATATTTTAAGAAACAATGATGATTTTATGAGATGTTTTATTTTTGATATTTTAGCAACCTTCAAAATCCTATGGGTTTGGATTGATGAAGATTGGAGGTATGCTTGTTATTTAGGAATAAAATTGTGAAGTAGGAAATGAGTGAGGAGAACAATGGTAGGAAGTTTTACTACACCCTTCCCTGGTGCACTGTCATTTTAGCCTCACACTTCAAAAGAAAATTTCTTTATCTACATAGAGAAAGAGGTCATAATGTGATGGGTTAAGTTTATTCAGAAACATTTTTGTTTTTATTTGTCCTTTTAAGAATTCCTGAATGGCTCGCTTAGTCAAGAAACCCATTTAGATTGCAAACAGTTTAGTGTATTTTGGAATACAAAGTTGTCAAACTCTGTTTCTGTATTTTGGTTCTGTGTTTTGTGCTGTTCCATAACAATTGCATCTAATGTGTTGAAGTAATTTTTTTATACAGGTTTCCTTGATGCTTCAATTCTCTGAATCGTATTTCAATGTTGCAACAAATATCAATAAATTTCATCAAGATCAATTTGAAGTATGTGGCGAGCCTTTTGACTGGTTATCTATTTTATGGGAACGAGGTCTTCAACATGACAATCCTCAAGGTTAGTGTCGTCATCATTATGGACACGTGAGGCCCTGACCAGTCTTGTTTTTAAGTAAAACTTTTAAGTCAAAATATGAATACCACTACAAATTACAGAGTTTGTCACATGTTAAATTAGTCCTTTCATCCTTTT